ATGTGCATTTAAGTATAAATGAAATTGAACATTAACCAGTCCTATTGGGCTGTTGGACAAAAAAAAGTTAATTTCCCACCCTGCTTAAGTTACATGTCATGCTTTACTGTTTGCATCATTGACAGTTAACTACAAGCAGAGACTTCTCACTCTGCCCTCTCCATAAAGAACTGTTGGGTGAACAGAAGCAGTCTCCATTTAAAGAGAAGGATGAATTTGTGCTGACACTCGTGTGCAAGGATGGCATTCAAGGAAGTGAGTGACAGTAACAAAAAGAGATGGTGCCATGCGTTCAGTTAGTTTGTTTCAAATGAAAGAAACTTCTTCGCCCTCGTGTTGCTGAAAGCACCTTTTTCACAAAAGGAATCATTTCAGCCGAATGCTTTGTTAACTGAATGTCACAGGCATCTGGCGATGGAACTACTTTGCATCTGAACAGCTGCTGGTTTATGATATTGAGAAATTCCGCTGGTGCCACAATGTGAAGCGCTTTCACAAGAGCAACAACATCATGTGAGTCTCTATCACTGTGATTTGCATTGCTTTACATGGTCTGTTTGATGGTCTAACAAATTACAAATGCTCTTAATTCTTCTTTTCATAGAATTGTGGTGGACCTCAAAGAAGAAGTGTGGTATCAGAGATGCCATGACCCTGAGTGCAGGAGACAGAACTACAGATCCTCCAGTACGCTCCACAGAGGAATAAAAAATAGCACCACATAAAACCTTACTTAATAGCTACTATATAGCTGTAATACTATAGCTTGTACTGCACTAGAGGTGACGGTTTGTTTGCTATACTTAATATCGCTTCCAGATGGACATCTGATAGATTCAGTGTTGTTATTGTTAATTAAAACTAAACTTATTAAAAATTGTTTTTTGTAAAAAAAAAAAAGGCTGAAATAAAATATGAATATTAAATGTTTCTTTGGCTAAGTTCAAGTTGAAGTACTAAAATGACTAAAACTGGTATAAAAATAAATTAAACTATAGAAATATTAAAACAAAAAACAAATTAAAATAACAAAAGCACATAAAATTCAAACTAAAAATATTAATAAATGCTATAATAGTTTATAAATAACACTAAGGTGTGGCTCGATATGGAATGTTTGTGGGAAATGATGTAACATTTAAGAGGGTTTGATTGTAATTTTATGGCATTTCTATTTTTTTCCAGGCTTCCCACTGCCTCAAGAGGTCTGCATGAGCCACCTGCTGATGGAGGTCAGTCAGGATTCAACTCATCGGGATCTGTAATTTACATAACCATACATTAGGTCGAGTACATATTTGTGTGCTGACTTGTGCGCCTTTCTTTACTTAAGGATGAAGAGGATCAGGCATATATAACGGATGAACTGGGGAACATTGAGCTTGCCCAGAGCTCCGTAGCCACGACTGATTCAGCAGAGTCCTCCTCGGCTCCTCAGGCTCAGGATTGGGGAGAGTGGCCTGATGACCCTGCTTACCTGGAAGCTCTGCAGGAAGTAGAAAGGGCCACTGAAGAGGTACGTGATGAGCTTCTGCTCCAAGGAGAAGCCATTACACAACAACTGAAACATACAAACAATACCAGACAAGGAACTGACTAAAACTGAGGGCTTATATAGATGATTACCAGAATCAGAACAGGTGAGAACTAATGAGTAACTATGGAAACAAATGAGTGGAGGGAAACTGGGTCAAATTAAACAAGGAGCACAGAACTAAACCAAAACAGAAAATAACCCTGACAGTAATGAGAAGTACAAATTAACATCCCCAAGTGCTTTCAGTGGTTTCTAAGAACAGGATTTGTGAGCAAATTAACTCAGAATTAACCATCTCAGGTCAGTGCAGCAATGTGGTTCACTTAAAATGTGCATTAAATACAAACAGTATAAAATGTGCATTTAAGTATAAATGAAATTGAACATTAACCAGTCCTATTGGGCTGTTGGACAAAAAAAAGTTAATTTCCCACCCTGCTTAAGTTACATGTCATGCTTTACTGTTTGCATCATTGACAGTTAACTACAAGCAGAGACTTCTCACTCTGCCCTCTCCATAAAGAACTGTTGGGTGAACAGAAGCAGTCTCCATTTAAAGAGAAGGATGAATTTGTGCTGACACTCGTGTGCAAGGATGGCATTCAAGGAAGTGAGTGACAGTAACAAAAAGAGATGGTGCCATGCGTTCAGTTAGTTTGTTTCAAATGAAAGAAACTTCTTCGCCCTCGTGTTGCTGAAAGCACCTTTTTCACAAAAGGAATCATTTCAGCCGAATGCTTTGTTAACTGAATGTCACAGGCATCTGGCGATGGAACTACTTTGCATCTGAACAGCTGCTGGTTTATGATATTGAGAAATTCCGCTGGTGCCACAATGTGAAGCGCTTTCACAAGAGCAACAACATCATGTGAGTCTCTATCACTGTGATTTGCATTGCTTTACATGGTCTGTTTGATGGTCTAACAAATTACAAATGCTCTTAATTCTTCTTTTCATAGAATTGTGGTGGACCTCAAAGAAGAAGTGTGGTATCAGAGATGCCATGACCCTGAGTGCAGGAGACAGAACTACAGATCCTCCAGTACGCTCCACAGAGGAATAAAAAATAGCACCACATAAAACCTTACTTAATAGCTACTATATAGCTGTAATACTATAGCTTGTACTGCACTAGAGGTGACGGTTTGTTTGCTATACTTAATATCGCTTCCAGATGGACATCTGATAGATTCAGTGTTGTTATTGTTAATTAAAACTAAACTTATTAAAAATTGTTTTTTGTAAAAAAAAAAAAGATGAAATAAAATATGAATATTATAAATTAAAACTAAACTTATTAAAAATTGTTTTTTGTAAAAAAAAAAAAAGCTGAAATAAAATATGAATATTAAATGTTTCTTTGGCTAAGTTCAAGTTGAAGTACTAAAATGACTAAAACTGGTATAAAAATAAATTAAACTATAGAAATATTAAAACAAAAAACAAATTAAAATAACAAAAGCACATAAAATTCAAACTAAAAATATTAATAAATGCTATAATAGTTTATAAATAACACTAAGGTGTGGCTCGATATGGAATGTTTGTGGGAAATGATGTAACATTTAAGAGGGTTTGATTGTAATTTTATGGCATTTCTATTTTTTTCCAGGCTTCCCACTGCCTCAAGAGGTCTGCATGAGCCACCTGCTGATGGAGGTCAGTCAGGATTCAACTCATCGGGATCTGTAATTTACATAACCATACATTAGGTCGAGTACATATTTGTGTGCTGACTTGTGCGCCTTTCTTTACTTAAGGATGAAGAGGATCAGGCATATATAACGGATGAACTGGGGAACATTGAGCTTGCCCAGAGCTCCGTAGCCACGACTGATTCAGCAGAGTCCTCCTCGGCTCCTCAGGCTCAGGATTGGGGAGAGTGGCCTGATGACCCTGCTTACCTGGAAGCTCTGCAGGAAGTAGAAAGGGCCACTGAAGAGGTACGTGATGAGCTTCTGCTCCAGGCTGTGACTGAGTGTGAATGAAAGTCTCTGGAGGGAGGGATGTCATGTGAATGTCATTATTAACCGACTATAGTGCAATACCTAAAGTTCCTTCTTTATTTCTATGTATTCATTAAACTGTAAAATAGAATGCTTAAATTCTGTTTCCTAACCAACTGTATTTTCTAAATGTTAAAAGATTTATTTGCATAAATTCTTTTAGATTACTTGGCTTGGGATAATTTATTCATTTTATTTACTTAAATGGACTATTATAGAAATATAATTTAATTTAATTTTTTAATTTATGCATTTAGCAGACACTTTTATCCAAAGCGACTTACAGTGCATTCAGGCTATACATTTTTTACCAGTATGTGTGTAAATATAATATTAGATGATAAATATATAAAGAATAAAATAAAAAATCTAATTTAATGTTAAATCATCCAGTATACTTTTAAAGCTGAGAAACGTTGCATATGTTGAAGTACAATGCAATACATTAAGCGAGTAAAAATATCACAATTATTATGACAAGTTAAATGGATGGAAACTGATACTCAGTATCCTTTTTGAGGATAAATAATTATTGTGAGTAAAACAATTAAAAACACAAATTGTATTAATTTATTCAGTCAAATATATTGGCAAATATAGTATAATAAACTGGTTATTATACAGAATTTAAACGTGTCCTCTTGCCTCCACTAGAGGGCAGCAGTGGTCTATTTCTGTAAAGGGATGCAGCACGGGGCTAGATATATTGTATGTTCCTGCATAAATTTAAATATGAGTAACCCTGAGGAGGTGTGTTTCCCCAGCTGAGTCTTGGTGCTTCCAAAGGAAGCATAAGGGAGTTTTTCATTTCTCTGTAAAGCTGCTTTGGAACAATGTATCATGAAAAGCTACACAAGCATGCTTTTTATTTCTGATACGCTTCTGTGAGACTGAAATTGAAAAATATTTACACATGGATGTGATTTTAGTTTTTGAGGGGCCATTTCATGACAAATTGGAGTCAGTACACGAATAAACTATTTATAATTGGTTTTATTTCTTTGCAATGACCCTAATCGTTACTTCAGAACACCAGTGACAAAAATACTTTAGACCAAGATGATATATGACAAGTGGTTTAGAGTAATTTGAAACTTTTGTTTTATTGTACGAATGAACTTTTTTTTTTTTTCATTTGTCAAATAGAATATCTCACTGAATTGATGTCTTTTCTACATTTTCTCACCTTCACCATCAGGTTTTGTGTAATTTTTGTAACCCCTTTTATAAAGTTTTAGATTTAATATTTAGATAAATACTAAAGATTTTGTAAAGAGTTTATTTCGAATCTTTAGATGTAAATTATTAGTCATATAAATATAAAGAGGAATTTGAAATCTGTCATTGCTGATTTTTAGACATTACTGAACATGATGAATGAAGTAAAAGAGGCTTGGTTGTTTTTATTTGCAATAAATATTCATTTGTTCATGGAGCATTCTCATTTTGTGTTTTAAAAAAAGAAGGGCAGTGAACATATAGTAAAGTCTTTGAACGGTGATGTCATCTCAGGGTCAGATCCAGCTGAAAACAGGTGGGGGATGATGTCATGATGAGACATGGACATCATCATTCAGGAAAGGAGAGCGGTGGTGTCACATCCCAACAACAAGGCGGCCAGATCACCTGATTCTATGCAGTGTGTCTCTCTGAATGACCCGAGAGCATGATGCACAACATGTGGTGCGATAGTATGAGTACACACACAAACGGGCCTGGACCACCACCACACAGTTATAGTACATATCCCTGCAGGACTCATCTACAGAGAGAGACAGAGATTAAAGGTATGGTTCACCCAAAAATGAAAATTCTTTCATCTCTCATAATCTTATTGTTCCTAGCCTATATGTTTTTTTTTTTTTTTACATCGAGTGCAACCTAATTTAAACTTGATTTGTGCTTCTTTTTTTGTCATTTTGTGGAGCTTGGTAGATACAGCCTTCATTCACCTTAATTCAGGGCTGTCCAAACTCGGTCCTGGAGGGCCGGTGTCCTGCAGAGTTTAGCTCCAACTTGCCTCAACACACCTGACTGGAAGTTTCTATGCCTAGTAAGAGCTTGATTAGCTGGTTCAGGTGTGTTTAATTAGGGTTGGAGCTAAACTCTGCAGGACACCGGCCCTCCAGGACCGAGTTTGGACAGCCCTGCCTTAATTCATTGTATGGAAAAGAGCAATTGAAGCATTCGGCTTAAGATATCCTTTATTGTTCCATGGGAGGAAAAAATATGGGTTTGGAAAAAGTCTGGATAAAAATACAGGTTTTTTGATTAATTGCAATGTTCATTTAAACAAGTCGCAATATAATAGCAGTAGCAAGTGATCTTCTGTATTGTGTGTTGTTTTGGCGGGCTATTATGAGCCAATACATTTTAGTAAATCAAAAACATACAGCATTAGTGCAGCACAATTCCAGCTCTGTCAATGGATAGTTCAAAAACAGTTATTTTTGTATTAATTATACTATTGTAGCATATTTAGTATTATTTTTAATTAACTTTAATGTTTATATTTTCAGTTTTCTTTTTAAATTTAATTTGAAGTAATTTAGTTTTTTGTCATTTTTATTAGTTTTTGTTTTATTTCTATATAGATTTTTATTTCTGTTTCTGCTTTAGTAATTTTAGCACTTCAAACTTATTTAAACATATTTCAGCTATTTGCCAAGACAACATTTCTCATTTTCATTCAAGTTTTAAGTTTTTCATCTAATATTTATTTTTAATTTAATTCAGCTTTATTTCAATGACTGAAAATGATTTTTAATAGTTTCAGTTAACAAGACTTCGAGCTACTGGTTTAAATGATTTGTGAAAGACAGGCCGTAATAATTCAGAGCATTAGTAGAGAGAGAATTCTTTCTAAAATGACAGTACGTAAAAAAAAATATGGAAATAACTGAAATATACACAAATGTTTTGGAAAATAAATCGGGAGCTTTTGATTAAGATTCGATTTGGGAAATCTAAATTGATATCCGGCCCTAATGATCATAAAGGTGAGTAGATGACAGAATGATCATTTTTGGTGTGCAAAATGTTTAACAATACTAGATAAAGAGAATGTATAAAGAGTAAGAAAATCATACCAATCTGTGGCATGCAGGTGTGTGTGTTACACTTCTCCTGTTTGGCAAGTTCAAGAGCAGGATCACAGTCATGGCTGGTGGTCAGATCATCTTGCAGACAACGTACCTCCCTCACTCGAAAGCCTCCGTCACAAGAACGAGAACACTGAGGCAGTCAGAAACATCCCTGTTACATAAGTGGAGTTGAAATAATGTGGTTAAAGTTGCACTGTGTGTGAGAAAACCTCACCGAGCTCCACTCCGTCATGTACCACTGTGCTCCACAGCTCTTCAAAAAGCAGGTCTGTGCACTGGGAGGACGGGGCAGATGAGAGCAGCGGTCATCTGAGGTGACTTCTAATTGGCCATTGTTTTGGACAACACAGACCACACCTCGACTCTGGGTACCATTGCCACATTCAGACGAGCACTGTGACACACACACACACACACACACACATATTAAACCTCATGTTGTATTCTGGTCATTTTGACATTTCTCTTTTTCCCCGAATATGCTACTTAATGTTTGCATTGGGCTAAAACGTACAGACTTTGCTCACACAGGATATAACCACTTCCCAAAAATAACATTTTTGTGCTTTTTTGGGATTTTCCTCCACCTTGTTATACTTGTGTTGTCACAGTGGTGGACAATAATGAAGTATTTTTACTCTGTTACTCAGGGTTGCCAGGCTTTCACAACAAAACCCGCCCAATTGCTACTCAAAACTAGCCCAAACTATCTGCGTTTCGAGGGGGTCCCCCGGTAAAAATCGCGTTTCGGAGTCTAAAATACACGTTGTTGGCAACTCTAGACAAACATTTGTGTGTCTTTTTTTATTGCTGAAGTGTGTTGAAATGTCTTCTTCTGCGTTCTACTGTACGGACGTAAATTTACTTTCCCTTCAGCCTGAGGCTTATTCATTTCACTTTTGGTGTGAAAAGGCTTGTTACATAAGTGGAGTTGAAATAATGTGGTTAAAGTTGCACTGTGTGTGAGAAAACCTCACCGAGCTCCACTCCGTCATGTACCACTGTGCTCCACAGCTCTTCAAAAAGCAGGTCTGTGCACTGGGAGGACGGGGCAGATGAGAGCAGCGGTCATCTGAGGTGACTTCTAATTGGCCATTGTTTTGGACAACACAGACCACACCTCGACTCTGGGTACCATTGCCACATTCAGACGAGCACTGTGACACACACACACACACACACATATTAAACCTCATGTTGTATTCTGGTCATTTTGACATTTCTCTTTTTCCCCGAATATGCTACTTAATGTTTGCATTGGGCTAAAACGTACAGACTTTGCTCACACAGGATATAACCACTTCCCAAAAATAACATTTTTGTGCTTTTTTGGGATTTTCCTCCACCTTGTTATACTTGTGTTGTCACAGTGGTGGACAATAATGAAGTATTTTTACTCTGTTACTCAGGGTTGCCAGGCTTTCACAACAAAACCCGCCCAATTGCTACTCAAAACTAGCCCAGGCTCCCCGTTAAAAATCGCGTTCCGGGGGTAAAATACACTTTTTTGGTGGGGTTCCCCTGGTAAGATTCGCACTCCAGGGGCTAAATATCACGTTATCGGGGTCGCTTTAACCCGCGGACATGAAAAACAACCCCCGGCAACAGTGATAAAGTAGCCCAATTCAAACACTGTTGTTACTGTACTTTAGAACATTGTTCGAGTACCTGTAGTTTATGTGAGTATTATTATTTTGAGAACCTTTTACTTCACTACATTCCAAAGCATTATATCGTACTTTTTACTCCACTATATTTCTTTAAAACATGTCTTCCTTGTTATTTTGAACTGGAGACATGAGCTGATTCTTTTCAGTGAATCTTTTAAATGGGTTCGCGAATCGCACTGAATGATTCATTCGCGAATTGGACTGTGCAGCTGTTCTCGAGTCAACAACTCACTGATTCAAATGATCCAGACATCAGCGAGTCTCCGGTTAACAATTCAGTGAATTCACATGTCTGACTCAAAATGAGCCAAGAACGTCAAGAGTCTCGGAGCTTGAGTGTGCGCATGACTGGCGAATTTTATTTTATTGTAAATAAAAATCATGTTTAGGTCACGACTGTTAGTTGGTGCATGGTGTAAAATGTGCATAAGCTAAGATCATTGAGGCCTACGATCAGTCCAAAGTTCCAAAAAGAGATACAAAACTGTGCTCATTGAAAGAAAACAAGGCGACAAAAAGATTGAATCCGAGATATTTTCTCCATTTCTGTCACTGATGGAGTTTTGGTTCCTTGCCACTGTCGCCTTTGGCTTGCTTAGTTGGGGACGCTTGACTGATTGCACAGACACTATTGGAAGAGAGCTGAACTGGAGGATGACTGAATCATCAATGAACTGACTTAAGCTGGAAAAATGACCCTGTTATTGTCTTCTTGCATTATTGACAAACTACTTTCCTGTTTGACACTGTAAAGCTGCTTTGACACAACCAGTATTGTATAAAGCGCTATGCAAATAAAGGTAAAAAAAATAAAAATTTAGATGATAATATAGTGTAATGACAGATTTACAAGCAAATTTAAAAAGGCTGGTAATTTTTGACCGGGAACACCAAATTAGGTATTTTCAACACAGCCCAAGGGTTAAAAAAATACAGTATTTGACTTTTCAGCGTGTGTGTGTTTGTGTGCGTTCACGCACCTGCCCCCATGGTCCTGTGTACCATTCCAGTCGCTGTGTGCAGGGTCCCAGGTCACACGGCATGAGCTCGTCAGGTTTATCCTCATCATCGCAGTTGTCCAGTGGCAGTGAGTTGGTCTGACTCATCATGCACACCACTGACCGGCTGCATCTTCCTTCCGCACAGTCTGCAGAACACTGCGGAGAGACAAAAAACAGCTATTTTAGAAGTGCTACTGCGAAATAGCAAAGATAAGCGCACAGATTTCTCACCCTGTCGCTCCAGAGAGAGTAGAACCAGCTGCTGGCACACACGCCTTTGTCACAGTTCTGCAGGTCCTGTGGGCGAAGGGCCATGTTGCATTCCTCATCAGAAACAATGTCACCCAGGTTATCCACACACACAACCTCTCTTCTGCGCTGACCTACTCCACATGGCACTGAGCACTGAGAGAGAGAATGAGGTTTAACTGGACCAGTGTTTTCTCTGAGCACTTTATATTGATGGCTGTTTATCTGATGCACATATATACTACCCTTCAAAAGTTTAGGGTCGGTAAGATTTTCTGATGTTTTGGAAAGTCTCTCCTGTCACCAAGGCTGCATTCATTTGAGCAAAAAATACAGTAAAAACACTAATAATGCGAAATAGTACAATCTAAATAACTGTTATATTCATAAAATGTATATCATATTTTTAATAAAATAATTTAATATATTTTAAAAGTTATTTTACTCATGTGGATGGCAAAGCTGAATTTTCAGCATCATTACTCCAGTCTTCAGTGTCACGTGATCCTTCGGAAATCATCGCTGCTCAAGAAACATCTCTGATTATCAATGTTGAAAATAGCTGTGCTGTTTAATATTTTTGTGGAAATTATGATTTTTGTGTCATTTTTTTTCTTTCAATATTTTTTTTCTGATAAACAAAGTTCAAAGGAACAGCATTTATTTAAATGATAATTTTTGAATCATCTGCTTTTAGGAATTTTTGTGAACAGTTTTTGTCATATGACCATACAGTGACCCCAATAAATATTTTACTTATGCCATATTTAAATTTACCTAATGCAATGAAATAAATCTATTTTTGTAAAGTTTTAAAGCGTACAAATGCTTGGAAACTGTATATTCAGAAAGCACCCTTCATATCTATCAGTGTTTTTTTTTTCCCAGTTTTTATTTTAATTTTAATTTCAGTAATTTTAGCACTTACAACTTAAACATATTATATATCAATTAGTTGCCAAGGCAAGTTTTATACAGTATGTTACAGATGCTTTCTGTTTATTCCAGGTGATAGAAGATGTCATGAAACATAATTATGAATATTAATCTCATCTTACACTCGGACGCATTCACACACCTCTGTCCAGTCTGAGCGGATCTGCCACTCACTGCAGATCTTGAGCTGGCACACAGTGGTCGTCTCGGGCATGTCTGTGTTATCGCAGAGGCTGGTCGCCACGACGACTGTGCTATTGCCATGGTGTCCTTGCGTCTGCTGGCAAATCACCTGACGATACTGAAACCCTGGACCACAGGTCTTACTGCACTCAGACCACTCTCCAACATCCCAGCTACACACACACACACACACTGACTGAAGTACAACTGCTTGGTTTGAGTCAAATGTGCTTCTTATTTGCCCCATTTGGAAAGCAACCACTCTAGACGTTTATGCCTCCTCAGCCCATATGGACAGTTTTTGGATGTTTTAAGATGCGCAGGCATGTATGTCTGCTTGTTATGTGTTGTGTTCAAATTGACCCTTTCAAAAAAGATTTGTTCATTCAACTGTTATTCAAGTTTTACATTAAAGCTAAAGCTAACATACTAAAGCACATGTAAAGTACTTGATTATAATTTGAACTGTAGTGTGTTATTTGATATTACATTTAAAGTCAATATGTATTAAATTGCTACTACATCTATTCAATTACAAATATATTTTAATACATGACATACAAGTTTCAACAGAAATGACATTCAAGAATAAGTTAGTTTATCATAAATGCCTGGCAGTACAGTTTAACAGAAGTAATAATGAAATATAAAAGATGTGCTTAAGTCTTGCTTAAGTTGGTCAAAAAAGCACTAATTGCATTTAACATAATTTTAAACAATAATACATTTTCATTTAATTGCAATTAACATCCAGTTAATTGTCTAAAAACATTACATTGAGTTCACACTTCAGTATATTCTTTTAAAGTGCTTTATTTCAGAAATAACAAGTACTATATTTAAAAGTATGCTGCAGTATACTTTTTTTACAAGAGTACTCAAGCATACATACTATATTATAAAATACATGTTCAAATTTATAGTAACAATTCAGTTTTGGGGGGTGAAATAGCTAGAGTAAAACAAGAGTAAAAATACATGGATGGAACTTAAACCTAAATTTAAAAAAATAGTAAACTACATTATGATGTTAAGTTCACTTGCAGTATAAAAACTTTTAAACAAGTAGTTTATTGACAGCGCTTTCATTAATACACAGTGGGTTAGGAGTATATAACTAGTAAACTAACAGTACACCTAAGTTCACTTGTAGTATACTGTAGTTTACAATACTATTACACTTAAATTACACTTAAAAGTCTACTTTTATAAACTAAAAGGTGGTTCAATTTAGTTCCAAGAAATATACAAGTATACTACTAGTACATTAATATTAGTGTGCTTACTACATTATTATATTTATAGTATAAAATATTTATATCTACATTTTTTTATGTTTGAACTTCTTATACATTTCCATACATTTGAATTACACAGTTTTAACATAAACTAATAAATGAAACAGGTAAGAAACAGGCAAGGATTCCTGAACTTTAAAAAAAAAAAAAAAGTTTATATTATTTGCATCTATTTGATTTTATTTAGATTATCACATTTTCAAAATTACATTATTAAAATGGCTTAAAATCAGCATAAATCTGTTCATCGTGAAAACAATTACATTTATTCAGTTAAAAAGCATGAACATGCGGTTAAAATATGGTTAGCTGTGGAACAAGAAATATTCAGTTATTCCTGAACTTTAAAAAAAAAAAAAAGTTTATTATTATTTGCATCTATTTGATTTTATTTAGATTATCACATTTTCAAAATTACATTATTAAAATGGCTTAAAATCAGCATAAATCTGTTCATCGTGAAAACAATTACATTTATTCAGTTAAAAAGCATGAACATGCGGTTAAAATATGGTTAGCTGTGGAACAAGAAATATTCAGTTAGTAAAAATGTATGAGATTGAAAGAAACTGGGTTTATTGATGATAAATACATAAACCTGGTTATTGTGTTTTTAAAACACATTCAATTTATTAGCATCATTACAGAAATTTAACCTGTTTCTTACATGCTTCATTAATGCATGACTGACAAATATGCATCACATTAAGTTTATAGACCTATATAATTTTTGAGTGTACATAAAGTATTCTTAGAAAATGTGACCCTGTCTGTGAAATGCTGGCTAAAGTCTCAAAATCGAATTATGAGATAACACGCATCAAAGTTTGATTTCAACCATTAATTTCACTATGATATCAATCTTTGACATGGCCTTACTCAGTCAATATTAAAGATAGAAAGGTTATATTTTCACAGAATGTTCTCCATCTTTATGAAGGATGATTTTATGTCACAAAAAAATGACTTTAGCTGGGTTTTTACAGGCAGGGTCACAAATATACTTTAACTGTACTGAAGTTAAAGTGAAAAAGTGAGCTAGAAGTAAATGCTTTTAGAGTCTGCTGTAAAAGACTGTGTATGTTCACTCACAAGGTCGGGCAAGGCTGCGATTGACACTCTTCTACCTGAGGGCCAGGATGACTGGTGTAGCTACAGAGATCCCCTGGTACAGTAGTTTGAGTAGCTCTTTCCACACAGCCGAATAGAACCTGATGACTGCCTGATACACACACACACACACACACACACTCACACACACACATCAGACAAACAGATTAAACAGAGACGGACAGGAAGACATGACATATTGTCATTGTGATGTCTTACAAGTACAGTGTCTGCTGCTAAGAGAATACCAATCTGTTTTGCTTTTATTTGCAGACATAAAAGTATGGTTCCTCTGGTTTTGATTTAGATTTTAAACAGTGAGGACATTATGAAACCTCTGCAATGGCCTGGAATGCATGAATGTTGTGTGTGTGTCACTATCTTATAATACAGAACACCATTCATCAGACACAGCAATGTGTTTACATGTCTCAGGGCCAGAAATACTGAAAAGCTAACAATTATTTTCTATTTCTGTCTTGAACATATTCTAGGGATCTTTTAACAGCTCACTTAGTTTACCCAGACCGAATTAAACAGGAAGAAAGAACCACAAACACACAATGCAAGGTTTTGATACATAATGTAAGCACTAATAACTGAAGTACCTGTTCCACAGGTGGCACTGCAGGGTGTTGTTGTCATGGCAACCCAGCTGTACAGAGGAACTGGTTCAGAGGTTATAGGGTCCGATGGAACTTGGTTAGGATGAGAGCTGCTCAGTGAGTTTTCACTGTCACTATTCTCAGGATCAGGAAATATTCCATGACTCTCTGCTGGAGGATGAGAGAGAGAGAGGAAAAGGGAGAGACAGAAAGAAATTGAGGGATGGTTGCGTAAGATTTACAATACGTGCAAGAAAGAAAGGTAAAACATTTCAGCACATACAGTACATTTCCCTATTACCTAGAAAATATCACTTAAAAAAAAATGAATAAAAAACAGAAACATTCTGTTAATCATTCCCTAACATGTCATTGGAAGGTGAAGTGAACGTTAGCTAAACAGAACAGAAATGGTCATATTAATCTACATTCTTCTGGTTACTTTTTGGAATTTTGTTGATACTTTTTGGAATACATAATCATTCAAAAGTTTAGAGTCTGTAAGATTTTTAAATATTTATGTCTCTTATGTTCACCAAGGCTGCATTTAGTTGAGCAAAAATACAGTAAAAACAGTAATATTGTGAAATATTATTGCAATTTAAAATAACTATTTTCTATTTCAATATATTTTAAAATTTTCAGCAGCATTACTCCAGTCTTCAGTGTCACATGATCCTTCAGAAATCATTCTAATATGCTGATTTGGTGCTGAAGAAACGTTTTTTTTTTTATTATGTTAAAAATTTAAAATTGTAATAGTTTTGTGGGAACAGGGATACATTTTTCCAGAATTCATGGTTGAAAATAAGTTCAAATGAACAGGATTTATTTGAAAAAGATTCATTTAATAGTCTTTACAATTAAATTATATATATTTTAAACACAGGCTTGATTCCAAACTTTTGAATACTTAAGCCACATTGACATTTATAGTATTTTACTATAAAACTATGTATGAAAGTACTATTTATAGATGTACTATAAAACGTACTATGGAAGTCAATGGCTACAAGCAAACGTTTGGTTACCAGCATTATTCACAATACCTTCTTTTGTGTTTAGCAGAAGAAAGAAACTTGAAACTTGAAAGTTGTTTGGAACAACTTGAGGGTGAGGAAATTATGTCAGAATTTTCATTTTTGGACGAACTATCCCTTTAAAGAAAAACTTACCCAGAGGAAGTACACTAGAGAAAGAATATGCATCTGAATGATTGTCGGTGATGGGGTCTTTGGGTAGAATGTATTCATAATACACTGCTGGATTGGGTTGCTGATAAATCACCTGAAACACATGGAGTTTAAAACTAAAAATCCACACACTATTCATATGGACTTCATCAGAAGCTAATGTTATCATAAGAATATATATACTTCTTTCTAACACAATACATCACACTGTAAAAAAAAAAGGTACTTGTCATTTTCTGCCAGGACATTATCCGTTAAGTTTACAACATATTGCAATGTGTAATTCAGAATAGGTGTATGAAAAATCAATACAAAAACACCTTCATATATTAACGCAGTACATTGGACTTTTCTTGAAGTGCAGAATAAGTGCAGCCACACTAAACCACATTCTATTTGTATCTTTAGTCAAGGCAGTTTTGTGATGTCATACAGTAGGAGTGGTCTCTCACAAAGAGATGCAGCTCTTGATTGGTTGGGCCAGGAGCAGTGATGGATTCTCCCGCTCTGCTGCGTATCTCATTGGGCCGTTTGTATGTGAGCTGAGTAGCCGCGGCGTAGAACTGTCCTGGCCTGTCGATCACCCAATCACCGTTTATCACTGACTCACCAGTCGCTGTCCTGAGAGCTTGAAGAAACAGAGGGGGGGAGATGATGGATGGAAGGTGGACACCTGGTGGTTCCATACCACATATTAACCCTACTGGAAACACCAGGCCACACCAGCTGGTGTCTGGAATGTGGTAGCTGTTATTCTGTTACCACTGAATAACTTTGTTATACAAAGTGCTCTGCCAGCTTGGACCAGCTAGAAACCATATACAGTAAAACCAGCTATATCTTAAGATATGGCACTCTGAAGAATAAAGTTTTTTTTTTTTAGTAAATGGACAGTGGAAGGAGGTGCTTAAACCTTCAGGATGAAACGAAATATTTTAGGAGCTGTTTTTTCTATTACATTTTATATTCAGTTTGAAAAAAAAAGGGGTAAAATCACACTGATTTGTGTGATTTCATTTTTATTTTCTACCAACAAACATATTCAGATTTTTTTTTTATTGTGTAATAACATGTAACAATATTGCAGATTTAGTCTAAATTAAGCTGAACTGGAACCAAATGTTGATTTGCAGTTATTGGTACACTTAGAAATTTGGGTGCATGGTAAATACATTTTTGTTTTTCTTAAGAAATTAATATTTTTATTCAGCAAGGATTCATTTAACTGATCAAGAGTGACATTTATAATGTTACAAAATATATATTTTACATAAATGCAGTTTGTTTTAATATACTGTATATCAAGGTTTCCACAAAAATATTCGGCAGCACAACTGTTTTCAACATTGAAATGTTTCTTCAGCACCAAAGCAGCATATTAGAATGATTTCTTATGAGCATTGGTGTTTTTTTTTCAAAAAACAATCAAAATCAATGCGACCCCAAACTTTTGAAAGGTAGTGTACATTATTTGTTTGACAATTTTATCCTATACTCTCATAACAGTGTTGAACGGCTGCGAACAACAAATGCAGTCAATAGTAAAATTTGTGTAAAAAATTAACAGAGGTTCTCAGAGTATATTTTATGTCTTGAATGCTTAATGGGACACTAAATTGTACCCTATTTGAGGAACGTGCCATCATAATGATCCTGAAGTAAATAAAAAAAAGAAGAGCTAGCAGGAATTCAGCTCAATTACCTAAGTAGTTCCTGGTCTTCTGTGTTTCCTGTAATTTGATTCGTTGAGCTCCAGCGGGAATGTCCAGGATCTTGTGGTAGCCAACAGAGAGCACGGAAAGAACGAGTGTCCCGCTGAACAGCTCACACGAGCTCCCGTCCCCTGCACACACACCGCAAACATCCACCTGGAAACCCTCACAACCCTGCACAATAACAACACACACACACACACACACACACACACACACACACACACACACACACACACACACACACACACACACACATCCAAAGCAGATTCAGTCCTGAGTAATGACTCTTTCACCACACAGATGAAGACAGGGATTTGACCACTTTAAATCGGAGACTATATGGGCAGGCGTGTTTGCTTGAGATCTTATTAACAAAAAGATTAAAATCAAAATTGAACGGCTAAGACGATTAGATTTCAGAAAATTAATCAACATTGTCTTATCTGGCAAGAGTTCATCAGAAAAAGCAAACACATGTAGCTCTTCAAGAGGACACTGCTGTCTTCCACTCAAAACACACTCACATCTGGCTCAAACCGAGTTGTATATTTGACTGTATATTTAAAAAGGCTTTCAATCATTTATAATTTATATTAAAATGAGACTGAAAGCACATGAGTGCATATGCTCTGATTCATATTTCATTAAAACATTATATGACTCAGCACTCAGTAAATGAGCATGTAAACACTGAAGCCAATATTCACCCACACCTGCAGATGAAGAAAAAACACAACGATGAGGAGAGAGATTGTTTGTGTTTGAGATTTACAGATTTGGAAACACTGCTACTATAATCGAAATGAAGTTGTTTCCTAAAACATTTTTCATTCAAAGCATCATCAGCCTCTCTTAGCATAACACTGTAATGAGAAACACACACACACACACACACACACACACACACACACACACACACACACACACACACACACACACACATCATGGTCAGACAGGGGCCAGATTGTTTCATGATTCAAACTTACTCACCGCAAGCCATCAAATGCAAATTTCAATCTGTAAACAACTGTTTCTATTGCTAGTTCAAAGAAATCCATAAGAACTGGGATTGATTAGGACTATGAAAACACACACACACACCTTGTCTGTTTGTCAGACTTACAATAAGAAACAGGTTTGGTTTTAAGAATGCCATACTAGACAGACTGGAAAAATTCTGTTTCTTAACACCAAAACACACACTTACAGATATACATGCTTGTTTTTCTATCAAGGTTGGGATTTTCCAGTGACTCCTTTTGTTTTTATTTTGAGTTCATGATGTTTTCTATCACCTAACCCTCATATAAACCTTTCAGCATTTTTTTTACAATGTTATTAATACGTTATTTAGTATGTTTATTAAGCCATTTTCCTCGTGGGGACCTTTGGCTGATCCCCACAACGGAGGTGATTTTGGGTTTTGCTATTCCTGTGGGGACATTTGGTCCCCACAATGCAGACAAAATCTGACCTCAGAGCCCCGCACACATCCGTCCACAGCGGTTAGTTTTGCAATGTTTTATCCCCCAGCTGATCTTTACAAGAGCCATTAATGTTTCCTGTAGTGTTTACTACAGTCCATGATCTACTCACATGACATTCTCACAATGATGACTCAATAGGTTAAGAATTAAAAAGTGAATATTTAAGACCAATCCAACATGCATAATAAATACTATATATATATTTTTGTTTTTTTTTTGGGGGGGGGGGATTTTCTATGCACTGCATAAGGAGTAATCTGAAGTAACTTTATAGGAACTTCATATTATAGATACTGAATATTTAAAAAAAAATTGTCTAACATTTTTACAGGTATACTAGATATTTATGTAGATTTCTACATATTAAAAATATTTGTACTTTTTTATACTAATTATTTAGAAATGTAAACAGGTTAATACACTAACTGTAAGAGACAGTATTTTTTTCACAACTGATTTTTCTTTGTGCAAACTCTTACTGTAGTTGTACAGTACAATGCATTTCTTGTTTTATAATGACTACTCTGTACTTTGTAACGTGTTTGTTACTGTAACAGCAACAATTTTCAACCTTTTGAAAAATCATTTTAAAAATCATCACTGTCTGGAATGTACTGTCTGGAAATAAACTTTTTGAAAATGGCAATACAGTGTTGTACTGTATCTGGACATTTCTATATTTGATCAAGTCATGTCATGTATGCAGATTTTTAAATATATGTATATATATATATATGTATATGTATATGTATATGTATATATATATATATATATATATATGTATATATATTTAAAGTAACTTTATACTATAGATACTGAATATTTTTTACATTTTTTATTTTTAGAAATTTTTACAAGTATACTGCTAAATTAGGTTGCTCTCAAACATACTACTGAAATCTTGTTCTGGGTAAGCATGGTTTGCCTAGAGTCATTTGCATGCATTCCAGTTCTGCCGCCTAGTATCATTTGTCATTCTCTGCGGTTCTTACCTTATATATAATACGTAATTTAAAGTAACTTTATACTATAGATACTGAATATTTTTTACATTTTTTATTTTTAGAAATTTTTACAAGTATACTGCTAAATTAGGTTGCTCTCAAACATACTACTGAAATCTTGTTCTGGGTAAGCATGGTTTGCCTAGAGTCATTTGCATGCATTCCAGTTCTGCCGCCTAGTATCATTTGTCATTCTCTGCGGTTCTTACCTCTCCAGGGCCACTGCTGGAGTCGTTGTCCCAGGGAACAGGCTCTGTGGGTGGGCACAGGAGGGAGAGCAGGAGGCTCATCCGGAGGAAATGCTGGATGAGTCTCCACTGGTGTCCGCTCCAGGTTGGCAGTTGCATCCCACAAGCCATGAGCAGATAAAGACAGTTAATATATGTGTAAATGTGTGTGTATGTCTTGTCCTAATAAGAAGTACTGCAGTGGTGCCGTCTCTGAATGGAGATGTGTGTTTGTGTGAGAGAATGTTTTAGTGAAAGGGGGTTTCTCTCTTTGGTATTTAAGTGTGTGTGTGTGTGTGTCTCTCACCCCCAGACAGTGAGTCATATACACACTGGCACACATCTCCCTCCTCTCCTCTCTCCCCTTTTTTCACTTTCTCTTTTCTCTTTCCACTCACCCCATTTTTTGTTCTTTCATAAGCAGCAAGAACTCCTTCCAAGAAATCTCTCTGTGAGAGAAGCTGTAAAATGCTTAGAATTACAATCACTTTCTGACGGACAGACACAGTCTCTCTGTGTTTCTTTCTAACACTCAGAGAGGCTTATTCTGACCTAACCAGAACCAAATCAGAGAATTAGAGCAAAAACCTCTTTCTCTCTCTCTCTCTAAAACCCACTAAAACAGAAAAACAAATGTAAAACAGGCCCAATCTGTAATGCAGTCCCCAGCCTTCTCTTTGCATACTTGAGTGTGTCTTGTGGTGTGTAATTTTGTAGTAATGAGGGTGTATGTCACACTTGTGTCCAGATGGTGTGTGTGTGTTTTTCTATGACCTGCACACCTTCTGGAGGTCAAATGATCTTCACCTCGTCAAACGGTAGAGGAAAGGAGAATATCAAGACATCAGACTTAAAAGGAAAAACAGAAAGAGCATTCAGAACTCCTGCACTGAAACATTTGGTCAGTTTTGTTCATAGAAAATATTTTCACGCACATAAACTACTGGAGCTCAGCGCAAAGGAATGTTTCTTGTGGCAGTGGTTTTGTGTTTCTTTATTCCAGGTCAATAATGCAAAGCGACTTACAGTTTTTCTTCATTGCAAACACATTCAAATTGTGATTCTGTTAGCATACAAGCCCAGAGCATTACTTTAGCTCTCCAAACAGACACACATTCTTGGATCATTTAAACTCTGTTCACCTGTTTTCACACATGTTCCAATTTATTCAATGTTTCTGGAGAAGTATTCACAAAAATGTCCTCATGAAGCACAGATTTAACCATGTTCTTATTTAGGAGTCCCAGTTAAGGACTCAATATAATTCACTTAGGATGCGTCAGTTAACACACACATGCAAAATTGTTCAAATAAAAATCAAATCGCAGGATGAATAAATAGGGATACAGGTGAGTCGTTTTTATTTTATAGAGTCGTGTATATATATATATATATATATATATATATACACATATGACTAGATAGACACGGTGAGTTTGTCTTTACATGTTAGATGTGATCCACCTCATAGTAACAATCCTGTCAGATCGTCCATCCTTTGTGTAACGTTACAGGTCGGCCGATCTGGTTTCCTGGTTAAAGTTAACCTTTTCGACATGTTTCCCTGTTGTTGTTGCTCAGCAATAGCATGGACGCGATGTTGTCTGGGGGTTTGGCAAAAGGAGAGTGGGACTGTGGGC